TTGGGCGTTGAAGACTGCAGGTCAGTGGTAGAATGATTTTCTCCTATATGAAATTTCATCCATTCCTGCTAACAGTTACATGTCACCTCTTTAGTCCATTTTATTTAATAGATTCTTAATGCATTCACTGTTAAACAAACAGATGGTGGAAAATAGTGAGAATGGCCCACCAGAGCAATACACGTTTAGCCCACTCCCTTCCAGACAGACTCACTAATTGTGCTGCAACCCCTTTAAATCCAAACAAAACAAACTGAGCAAAGTAACCTCTTCCCATCATAGAAACTGAATTCTTATTTATTCAGGCCAAATGATGTCTCAGTAGAATTCTTTCTTAGAATCGGGACAAGATTCATACATGGGAAAACCTGTAATGCAGCAAGTTCTAAAAGCTGCAAAAGATTAGATGTTGATGGCATTGTTTGTGAAAATGATGAATCAGGAATGCATTTTTTAATACCAAGGATATCAGGGTTCCTAATTGGTATAATTAAAGGGGCTGGACTACGTGTATGGGTGATCATCAGGGAGTAATGGACAGGTTACTGCCTCCTGGGGGTATCAGTATAGCATACAGGTTGATACATATATATGTGATAGTTATATCATCTACCAGCATACGTAACTGGTGGTGACGTTAAATATTTGTTACATGTAAAAAAAAAACACATTCTCACACTATTTTTGCAAGAAACGGTGAAAAGATGTTGCGATCATAAGCTACATTTTATAAACACACATATATACATTTGCTTATTATAATCTTAGTAAAGAGGGCACAATGATGCACTAAAATGAAACTAATGCTAGCTCTACCCCTACCTGCAAACTTAGTCCTAATTCTAAAAGTAATATAGTGTAAAAGATGAAGCACGTTTTAGGGAAAAGTAATGCCATCTCTGATTTTTGAAGATATAGTGGATGGTATTACAACATTTATTAAGAACTATAACGCCATGTGGTACTAAAATTGTGCATTGTGGAGCCTTTTTTGCGAGCTACACTATGTAGCAACAACTGCTATTTGCAGCTACCACCTTTAATTCAGCCTTTCTTTCACCAAGAATATGACTGGAGAAGCACTGGGGAGATAGACTGAGTGTGATTCTCTCTCTCTCCAGCTCCTCTCCCAGTGACTGAAGGGACAATGGATGCATTAAGAACAGCTGATACATTTATCAGCAGCTATCTAGAATGTAACTCTTACAAGCAGACTGGGAGATATATAGAATGCTGTGCCCTAGGAATTTTACTACTAACAACAACCCTAACCCTAAAACTATTTTTTTTTTTTTTTTTACGATGAAGTGTATATAAGTGAAAAAAAAAATTTGGACCTTCAGTCTCCTGGCTTATTATAATATTTCAGAATGTCTTGATGGCAAATAAAATTATTCTTCATAAAAAATAAAAGATTTTCCCTGGGCCTTAAAGCTTCTAGAAAGAATTAGTGATTCTTACCATCTAATAGGACCACATCCTACAAAAAGGTTTTAAACTGTTCTCACACTATCACATTTTTTTTTTTTTTTACTATTTTTCTTCTTCAAGGGTACCAACAAAAATTCAACTTGAGAGAATATTTAATATTTATTTTTTTAAATAAACTGATGCATTGCATTTAGATGCATTTTAAAGGTTAAAAAAATCCTGCGTTTATGTATTATTCCAGCTAAGTGGAGCATATGTAGTGGAGGTAAAGATGCATTCTTCTCAGAAGAGCATTATATAGAGTGCAATTTAATTTAATGTGAATTGTTTGATCTTCCATCAACTGCACTGTAACTCTGAGCATTTCTTCTAAGTACAGTCTGTCATTATCCTTTAATATCACAATTTAAAATTATCGTCAGTTTATTTTAATAAAAGTAATTTCTTTTCAGCTGATAGGTCTTCTGAAAACACTCTTTGTTTAGCTAAAAGTATCTTTTTATGAGGAAAAATCAGTTCACTATGTGATACTGAGATAGTAATCTTAAAAATCTTTCAAATCAAAAATCTCTTGAGTGATTCACTATTGATAGCAGGTACATTATCATAAGAAGGAACAGGGTGGGCGCCAAAGCAGACACAGACAGACAAGACAGACACCAACATATGGGAGTCTATTCACTAAACTGGGAAACCTGGTAAACTGAAACAGGCCTGAACTGCTGATTAGCTGCATTGTCTACATTTTGAGAAATATATTTCTCAGTTCAACACAAATTAATCAGTGGATATGTGGAAATGTCTGGGTAAAATGATTGTTAAATAATTGAGCTTAATATATTTTTTTTCAATTGGACTTTGGTATCCAGTAAAGTTCATTAAACTGAGCTGTAAACACAGAATATATTGAGAAGTAATAAGTAAAAAAATAAATAAAATAATATAAAGTATTTCTGTCTCAGAGTGCAGTTATTTAGTGTGACGTTATGGAATCTTTATTAGAGCTAAACAAAAAATAAAAGTCTTACTCTCAAATACACTGTACAGATTATGGTTTCCTTTGGTGCTCATTAAAAGTTCCCATATAGAAGCAAGGGGTGATGACAGCTTGGCAGATTCAGGGAGATGTCCTCCTACAAAGCAGTCTTTATGGTTGCTCACCTGTGAAAAAGACTTGGGTAGACCAAAACATTTTGCTACCTGGGAGAACAAGTGATGGTCTCAATTGTATGTATATTTTTTATACATCATTTTTGTATTACCTTAAAACATTATGTTTAACATGGGCACTGTCAGTTTAAGAGGGGGTTATACGGCTTAGTGGGTTTTACAGGTGAGATCATCTTTAGGAGTTTTTGCCACATTCATAAACACACACTAATACACATAATGCATATTCACATAAACGCGTACATTCTTAGACCGGTGGGGGTGATCCCGGTCCACCCCTGGGAGGTAGCCCAGCACTGGCAGACTTGCAGGGTGAAGTCATCCAAGCTAACAGACTGCACTACGACCAACACAAAATGGTGGAATCCGTGTGTTTGCCTAACTCCAACACAGTATGGTTGGACATGGAGTCCAGGCTGGATAGCCTCTTTGCAAAATTCTGGCAGCAGTTGGAAAGCAGACAACTATTAGCATGCACCATCACTGCCAAAGGACCACCCACACGACCTGCAGGCTCCAGATCACCATCGTGAATCATCACTGTTACCAGTGAAGAAAGCACAAATATGGCAGAGGGGCAAGCGGCACAAGGAGCAGAGCTCACCTAAACTAAAAGGGGCACATATGCTAAAGACCGAGTCCAAGCACGGTGACAAGCCTAAGAAGCAGTGGAGAGCCCTGTTCCTGATCTATGTTTTGATCTGCCGACTTTCATCTAGCACTAAACGCCTGAAGCACCCCTTCAAGGAAATGGATAGTGCTCTGCAAACTAAAGGCATAGGGTGACTGGGGATCTCAGTATGGTTGTAGTGGGGAAACTTAGTTTATTTATCTAATTTGGGGGCATATTCTCCTACTGCTGCCAAAGTTTAGTTATGCCTGTTATTTCTTGCTCAGATGCCTCATTTACTCTTCTTACTATGGGACCTACTGGGGTAATTATCTTGCTAAGCTTTGTAATGCCTGTTTTTTCTCAAAAAAGAAAAGAGCAGTCCTTCCTGACTTTTCATTTAATGCCAACACCTGTTATTGTTGACCAAACTTATGTGAAATGTCTCTATATTCATGTTTACTATACAATGCTCAACCAAAATAAAGAATGTAAAAAAATAAAAAAAAATAAAGGAGGACATTGAACGTCATCAAATGCAGCTTACAGGAAATCAGGTCCTCAATTCTACTGTGTTGCAAATACTTCTCAATGCATTATGAAGTCTCTGATTGGACAGCCACAAAAAGTCTGGCCGGGGTTTGAAGGGGAGGGCTTTCAAAGGCAGCAGACAGCTTTTGCAAGCTGTTTTAAGAAATATCAGCAATTTAAAAATCCACCATAGTCCATTAAATGCATACATGTTTTCATTTGGGGTATATCTACTAAACAGTGATTTTTATTTTGTCAGTGGAGTGTCCCTTTAAGTGGTGGGGTAGTAGAGAGAAATAGAGGGGGCAAACTGGGAAGCAGAAACCCTTTCCTCCTGCTAGGCATGCAGATGCACATTAGACGTGGACATTAGGAAGTGGGTGTAAAGATGAATGCTGCCTTTCTCAATGTGAATATGGGGCATCTGTAAACTGTTTATTCTGCCGGGGCATTATAAGAGGACCATTCATAGGGGAGAGCACTAAACTAGGGTGCTCCATTTTAAGCGAAACAGATGACCCTACTGTGAAAAATACCTAAGTACAATGTAAGTGATAGAATGACCCCTGTATGAATGCCACCGCCTATTTAATTGAAACCTGGGTCTATTGCTCTCCACGCAGAACCATGCAGAATACCTAATTTAGTGGTCATCTTTGTAACAGATACAAAGCCTGCCACCATGAGGGATTTCCTCTATGGATTTAATTTTTTCATGTTCACTTCCAGATGTCACATTCTTGGAGTGCAAGGTCACTAGAAAGAAATTACGTTTTGCACGGAATTCTTACATTTACTTCTTTTTCTGAGAGAGTTGAAATTACTGAGAATATAATTTGTCACAAGTTCATGGAAAGGGTAGAGCTTTCCAACAATTTTTCATCTCTTGAGGTCTGGTAAGCAACGTTATTCAGAAAAGTAAAATCTAGATTGAGGCAAAATGTTGGAATTTTTAATAATTTTGCAGTATCACCTTAAACTGGAAATGTTTTAAGAATCCAATAGATATTACTGGCTGGCTGTAATAAATATACATATAGATTGCAAGCTCGTTTGAGCAGGACCTTTTTTTACCTCTTCTCTTTGTTAATATTTCTTATGTCAAATAAACTGTATGTTGTCGTTTTCCCCATTCTATGATTGTAAAGCTCTGCAGAATTTGTTGAATATATAAGCATATATATAAATATATATATTCAACAAACTCTGCAGAGCTTAACAATCATATATATATTCCAATACAGAAATGAAAGCACTCACTGGATTCCAAAATTCCAAATCGTGTTTATAAGTTGCCAAAAAAGATCAACGTCTCAATAAAGACTGAGAGGTCGAAACGTTGATTTTTTTTTGCAACTAATAAACACGATTTGGAAATTTGAAATCCAGTGAGTGCTCTCATTTTTGTATTGGAATATAATTTCAGCACTGTGCAGCACATTGGTATATATTGATTTTTTTAGTTTTTAGGAAGAGTGCCAGACTTATACATACAGGTATATGTGTGTGAATACACAGTAAGGGTAGCAGCATTTGTAATAATATGTGTACGAGTGTGGGTGTGTGTATGTAGGTAACAGTAGCATGTGTAGCAGTGTGTGCGTACAGTGTGGGTATGTGGGTATAGGCATGTGTGTGTAACGGTGTGGACAGCAATATGAGTAGTAGTGTGTTTGTCTGTATGTGTGCAACAGTGTGTCCATGTCATTTCTTATATAGCCACTCTGGCACCAGTCCTCTACCCTCTGCCTCCAGGAGATGCTGTACTCAGATTGAATACAGTGATTACAGAGTCCAGCAGCCTCTGTTCCAGGCAACAAACAGCAGATGCTAAACAGGAGGTACGGAGGGGGGTCCAACAGGCAGAGTAGGCGCCGATTAGGTATGCACTTGTAGGCAGTCCAGACCTTTTTTATACAGCAAGTGAAAACAGTTAAACAGTGAAAACAGTTACCCTTGTGTGTCAACAGGTGAGTTGACAACTGTATCATTTCATTTTTTTTCCCTTTCATAATTCAAGCATTCTTTCAACTTGTCCCCATATATATGGATCAAATAATAATATTGCAGCATGCATTAAAGGACCACTCTAGGCACCCAGACCACTTCAGCTTAATGAAGTGGTCTGGGTGCCAGGTCCAGCTAGGGTTAACCCATTTTTTCATAAACATAGCAGTTTCAGAGAAACTGCTATGTTTATGAATGGGTTAAGCCTTCCCCTATTTCCTCTAGCGGCTGTCTCATTGACAGCCGCTAGAGGCGCTTGCGTGCTTCTCACTGTGATTTTCACAGTGAGAGCACGCCAGCGTCCATAGGAAAGCATTGATAATGCTTTCCTATGCGACCGGCTGAATGCGTGCGCAGCTCTTGCCGCGCGTGCGCATTCAGCCGACGGGGAGGAGAGCAGGAGGAGGAGAGGAGGCAGAGAGCTCCCCGCCCAGCGCTGGAAAAAGGTAAGTTTTACCCCTTTTCCCCTTTCCAGAGCTGGGCGGGAGGGGTCCCTGAGGGTGGGGGCACCCTAAGGGCACTATAGTGCCAGGAAAACAAGTATGTTTTCCTGGCACTATAGTGGTCCTTTAATAGAAAAAAAAAGTATTTTTAAAACTAGGAACTTTTAGAATATATCAGTATCAAAAAAATTATATATTTTTTACAGGAACATTCCAAGTATCTATAGTGCTTATTGCGCCATAAGTGCCCAGGTGCCCCTCCTGCCCCTCCCCCCCTTTTTTAGATTGCTAATAGTTTGACTTCCTACGTGGTCAACCCAAGATAGAGTAGGAGATGGGTGTCAGGGTACTATAGTGGTTATGGTGTTTTGAGTATTCTTTTGAAAATGCCTGTAGAATGTTTTAAACTAATTGATATTTTCTAAACGTTTTTATTTAGTTTTTATTTTTCGATCTCTGTGTTTCCGAGCAGGATTCATTGTGCAAGCAAACAATATATTCAGCTATGTGCAGGAATTAAACATTCATTATTATGATGACTGACTGGGACAATTAAGGAACATCTCCAATCACAGACTCAATTCTAGTAAAATCAAAGTGGTTATTTATGGAGCTCTTAAATAAAGAGATAGTTCAGGTTTTTTACTCCTTGGAGAGATCACCTAATTAATTTAGAACACTCTGTGAAATCTACAGAAAACACCAACATGATTTCAAAAACATTCCAGAAACGGATGTCGTGCCATGTCTTTTAAAAAGAGATTTACTTTTTTTCATTGAACAGTGCATTGTTGTCAATTAAAAACAGAACTGCAGACTCTGCCAAAATAGCTGCAATTAAAGAATTCTCTTATCTAGCATATTTTGATCTAGATTTTGCAATCAATATTATTTTCTGGCTTCTGTTTCAGTAATTACACAACAGTTTTCAAAGTGACCACTATCCAAAATTCACTGACCGTTTTACACCATTAATAATGCAGAAATAACTACAACAAAACTTTTCAGTTATGTCATAGGTTGAACGAAGAAAGTCAAGAACATAGATCAGATGTGTCAATATCCTATTATGTTCTATGTGGACATTGCAGCATCTGTGTTTTTAAAGGTACCACTAAACAGATATTTCAAGTACTGCACATACAGTGAGTATTTGATCCCCTGCTGATTTTGAACATTAGCCAACTGACAAAGAAATGATCAGTCTTTAATTTTAATGGTACGTGCATTTTACAGTGAGAGACATAATAGTAAATAAAATCCAGAAAAACGCATGTGAAAAGAGTTATAAATTGATTTGCATGTCAATGACTGAAGTAAGTAGTTGACCCCTTCGACTTAGTACTTGATGGCAAAACCCTTGTTGGCAATCACAGTTGGCCACCAGGTTTGCACACATCTCAGGAGGAATTTCTGTCCCACTCCTCTTTACAGATCCTCTCCAAGTCATTAAGATTTCTAGGCTGAAGTTTGGCAACTCAAACCTTCAGTTCCCTCCATAGATTTACTATGGGATTAAGGTCTGGAGACTGGCTCAAGGACCCCTTAAATCCGGAGGGCGTACTATTACGCCCTGCAGGAGCTGGCTCTAAACGCCGTAGGGCGTAATAGTATGCCCTCGCTATAATGGGCGCCCACGTGGCCGGCGCTAATCACCCGCTGCAGATCGTGGTCACAGGGGATGCCTGGCCCCCCAGGCAACCTCCCCTGTGGCCGGTGACCACGATCTGCAGTCTCTGATCTCAGTGACAGGCTGTCACTGTGTTCAGTATTTACCGTGTCGGCTGACACACGTGGCAGGCGGCTTTCCCCTGTGCAGATCGCGGTCGGGGAACATACCTGATCGCGGTCGGGGAACATACCTGGCCCCCCGGGCAGTCCCCCTGGGGTCAGTGACCACGATCTGCACTGTCTGATCGCAGTGACAGGCTGTCACTGCAATCTCAGAGCGCTCTGATCGCAGTGACAACCTGTCACTGCGATCAGTGTTACATGTGTCAGCCTAATGGCTGATACATGTAACAGGTGCAATGATCCCCCTGCAGATCGGTATGGGGAGTGCTTGTACCATCCAGGCACCCCCCCTGTGGTCAATTACCCAATCTGCAGGAGGTGATCACAGTGACAGCCAGTCACTGTGATCACTATTACTATGTGTCAGCCAGGGATGTGAAATCACTGGCTGACACTGTCTCTGCCCCTCTCCTGTAATAAAAATAAAATATTAGTTATAAAATAAATAAATGACAGTTACAAATAAAATATACTTAGATCATATATATTATATATATGATCTAAGTATATATATGTATATATATATATATATACACACACACACACACACATTTACACATACACTAAGTGTATTTTAATATGACTATATATAATTATATATATATATATATATATATATATATATATATTAATATCAAAATACACGTACAAGGATATTGATTAAATATATATATATATAATTATAATTAAAGTGAAAATACCGGCACTGAAGGTTTTCCAGAAGATAACTTCTCCATTTATTACTTCTCTTCATGGTGTCCTGATGAAAGCTCCCCAGTGGAGCTGAAACGTAGAATTTTTCTTCCGCAATAAAGTTATCTTCTGGAAAACCTTGAGTGCCGATATTTTCACTTTGTTTTAGTGATGTCCCGAACGTTTCGCCGAACGTTTTGCCACGGACGGCAAACATAAACATAAACTTTGACCCTGTACCTCACAGTCAGCAGACACATTCCAGCCAATCAGCAGCAGACCTTCCCTCCCAGACCCTCCCACCTCCTGGACAGCTCACTAAGAATGCAGCTTCACAATGAATGTAAAATGGATGCTGTCCAGGAGGTGGGAGGGTCTGGGAGGGAGGGTCTGCTGCTGATTGGCTGGAATGTGTCTGCTGACTGTGAGTACAGGGTCAAAGTTTATGTTTATGTTCGCCGTCCATGGTGAACCGTTCGGCGAACCGTTCGGGGAACCGTTCGGGACATCACTATTTGTTTATGATTAAGCCACCAGAGCACCAGGTACTATTTTTATTTTTCTAGTTGGAGTGCAGGGGTATTTTGTATTTTTGTATAATTATAATTATATATTTATATATAATAAAAAAATATGTAAATACGTTAAAAAATTAAAATTAAAAAATAATAAAAATAAATAATTAAAATATATATATGTGTAATTTCATTATATATATATATATATTATATATATATATATATATTGATATCAAAATACATGTAGAACGAAATAATATATATATCTATATACATAAGTATATATGTATATATCACTATATGTATACATATATATAAATAAAAATAATAATAAAAAAAAATTATATACACACACATATATATATATATATATATATATAATAATTTTACATATATATTTATATAATAATTTAACATAATTAGGTACTTTTATTAATTACAATTTGCGGGACCTGCCTGACAACCCAGGCCGAAAGTATAGGGAATTTAATTTTCTAGCACTATATTTAACACTATAACTTTCCATGACACCATAAAACCTGCACATGGGGGGTACTGTTTTACTCGGGAGACATCACTGAACACAAATATTTGTGTTTCAAAACCGTTAAATGTATTACAACAATGATATCGTCAGTAAAAGTGACGTTTTATGCATTTTTCACACATAAACGGCACTTACACTGATGATATTATTGCTGTAATACTTTTTACTGTTTTGAAACACAAATATTTGTGTTCAGCAAAGTCTCCTGAGTATAACAGTACCCCTCATGTACAGGTTTTATGGTGTTTTGAAAAGTTACAGAGTCAAATATAAGGCTTGCGTTTCAGTTTTTTCACATTGAAATTTGCCAGATTGGTTATGTTGCCTTTGAGACCATAGGCGTGCGCACAGGGTGTACCGGGTGTGCCTGGGCACACTCTAATCCTCG